CAAAGTGATGGAATTACATGCATGAGCCACCATGTCCATCCGAAACGCATTCCTTTTTTCTTTTTCTTTTTTTTTTTTTTTTGAGTTGAAGTCTCACTCTGTCACCCAGACTGGAGTGCAGTGGTACGCTCCCAGCCACTGCAGCCTCGCCCTGCTAGGCTCTGGCAATTCTTCTGCCTTAGCCTTCCAAGTAGCCAGAACTACCGGTGTGTGCTACCATGCCCAGCTAATTTTTGATTTATTGTAGAGATGAGATCTCGCCAAGTTGCTCAGGCGGGTCACGAACCCACGGGCTCAGGCAATCCACTCACCTCGGCCTCCCAAAGCGCTGGGATTACAGGCTGAAGTCAATGTCAGAATTACTCCTTGATTCATGGGCTGCAGAATGGATGTCATGTTAGAATGTATGAAGAAGACATTCATCTCCTTGTACATATTCATCAGAACTCTTGGGGTACTACATGCATTGTCAGTGAGCAGTAAGGAATTATTTTTCTGAGCAGTAAGTCTTAACAGCGGGCTTAAAATGTTCAGTAAACCATGCTGTAAACAGATGTGCTATCATCTAGGCCTTGTTATTCTATTTCTAGAGCACAGGCAGAGTAGATTTAGCATAATTCTTAAGGACCCTGGAGTTTGGGGATTAGTAAATGAGCATTGGCTTTGATCAATCCCTAACAAGAGAGTCTGTTTTTTGAAGCCAGGCATTGACTTTTCCTCTCTAGCTATGAAAGTTCTAGATGGCATCTTCTTCCAATAGAAGACTGTTTTGTCTGTATTGAAAATCTGACCTTAGGGTCACCAACTTCATCGAAGATCTTAGCTAGATCTTCTGGGTAACCTGCTCCAGCTTCTACATCAGCACTTGCTGCTTCACTTGACACTTTTATGACATGGAAATGACTTGTGTCCTTAAAAAACAATTAGTATCTCTCCTAGCTTCCAACTTTTGTTCTTTAGCTTCCTCACCTCCCTCAGCCTTCATAAAATTGAAGAGAGTTAGGTCCTTCCTCTGGATTAGGCTTTGGCTTAACGGAATGTTGTGTCTGATTTGATCTTCTATCCAGACCACAAAAACGTTCTCCATATCAGCAATAAGGCTGTTTCACTTTCTTATCATTCGTGTATTCACTGGAGTAGCACTTTTTATTTCCTTTGAGAAGTTTTCCTTTCCATTCACAACTTGGTTAGCTATTTGGCAGAAAAGGCTTAGCTTTTATCCTGTCTCAGTTTTTGACATGTCTTCCTCACTAAATCATGTCTAGCCTTGATTTAAAGTAAGATATGTGTGACTCTTCCTTTCACTTCAACACTTAGAGGCCACTGTAGGGTTAATAACTGGCCCAATTTTAATATTGTTGTATAGAGAAGCCCAAGGATTGGCCAGTAGATAGAGCACTCAGAGCACACATGACATTTACCAATTAAGTTCACCATCTTCTATGGGCACAGTTCATGACACCCCTAAACAATTGCAATAGTCACATCAAAGATCACTGATCACAGATTATCACAGAAGATATAATAGTAATGAAGAAGTTTGAATTATTGCAAGAACTACCAAAAAGTGACAAAGAGTCTTAGAGCAAGTACCTGCTGTCAGAAAAAAAAATGGCACCAATAGATTTGCTCAACACAGTGTTGCCACAAACCTTCAATTTGTAAAAAAAACACAATATCTGTGAAGCACAATAAAGCAAAGTGCGATAAAATGAGGTATGCCTGTATACAAGTGAATGTTCCTTATCCAAAATGCTTGGAACCAAACGTGCTCCTAATTTTGATTTTGGGGGGAAGATTTTAGAATATTTGCATTATACTTACTGGTTGAGCATCCCTAATCCAAACATTCAAATCCAAAATGCTCCAATGAGCATTTTCTTTGAGGATGACCTTTGAGCGTCTTATTGGTACTCAAAAAGTTTCAGCTTTCAAAGCATTTCAGAGTTTGAATAATGGGTTGTCAACCTATACATACATATTTATGCATGCATAGCTGAATACATTGTTACTAATTTGAAAAGTTATATGATAGATCAATTAAGAATAAGAAAAATAAAAGTTTTTCTTTTACCTTCACTTTTTCATTCTTTGATCCTCTTTATTTCACAATATACAGAATTCTGAGTTGTTTTTTCTCTTAACATGTTAAATATTTTACTATCTTCTTATTTGTGTGATTTCTGAAAGGAAATCAGATATAAAGTGTACATTTGTTCATCTATAGGTAAGGTGTTTGTCTAAAGTTTGAATATGATATGCCTAGGTATAAGGGGGTTTTGGCATTTATCCTACTTTGTGCTCTCTGTTCTCCCAGAACTGTGGTTTGGTGTCTGATATTAATTTGGGGAAATTCTCAGTCATTATTGCTTCTGTTTCTTTTTCTCTTTCTTCTTCTGGGTATTCCCACTATGTATGTTTAAACCTTTTGTAGTTGCCCCATAGTTATTGGATATTCTTTATGATTTTGTTTAGTCTTCCTTTTATGCTTTTGCTATGATCTAAATGTTTGTATCCCACAAAATTTATATACTGAAACCTAATTATCAATGTAATGCTATTAGGAGATGAGGCCTCTGGGAGGTAATTAGGTCATGAGGACAGAACCCTCATGAAAGAAATGCATTCCCTTATAAAAGAGGCCCTAGAGAGCTGACTTGCCCCTTCCTGATGTGAGGACATAGCTAGAAGGCATCATACAAGAGGGGACCCAAAACATAACCCAGAATTATTTTTGGGAGGTCAGAGACAAACCCTATAGTACAGACTTCCCCTGCTATGAACCCATCAACATCAGTGTACCAGCCAGCATTGCTGTTAGAGGCTATGTTTGACATCAGTTAATTGGGGAGAGGGGAAGATTCTTTCAGCGTGTTTGCCCATTTTGTGATGGGTGCTTTACACAAACAACATGCCCACATTCCACTGAGTATTCAGCAGTTGTTTACCAAAAATGGCATGACCCCCATGTCTCACCCTCCCTATTCACCCGATCTCACCCCAAGTGACTTTCTTTTTTGTTTTCCTGAATGAAAAAAGTCCTCAAAAATGAAATGTTTTGCTGATTTGGAAGAGATGAAACAAAAAAAATGACAGAAACACCAAGAAGCATGAGTTCAAAAACTGTTTTAAGCAGTGGAAAAAGCATGTAGATAGGTGTATTGCATCAAACAGAGAGTACTTTGAAGATGACTGAAGTTTAAACATGTAAGAATAAATACAGAATTTTTTAGACATACATTTCAAGTTTTTTGGGTTCCCTCTTGAATATGCACTAGGAAATAGGCCCTCACCAGACACTGAAATTGCTGGCACTTTCCAGCTTCCAGAACTGTGAGGAATAAAAGTCTGTGGTTTATAAGATACTCAGTTTATTGTATTTTGTTATAGAAGCTCAAATGGACTAAGACAGGGTTTCAGTTTTGGATGTTTCTGTTGTCATATCCTCAAGCTCAGAGATTCTTTTCCTCAGTCGTGTCCAGTCTAATGAGTCCATCAAAGGCATTCTTCATTTCCACTAGTGTTTTTTATCTCTAGTATTTCTTTTTGATTTCTAGAATTTTCATCTCTCTACTTATATTATCCATTTTTTCTTGCATGTTATCTAATTTTTCCATTAAAGCCCTTCACATATTAATTATCCTTTTTTTGTGTGTGGGGTTTTTTTTTTTTTAGTTCCCAGTCTGATAATTCCTATACCACTGCCATATCTGACTCTGAGTCTGATGTTTGCTCTGCCTCTTCAAACTATGTTTTTGTTTTTTTTGTTTTTTTGCCATTTAATATGCCTTGTAATTTTTTTGTAAGAATCTGGACATGATATCCTAGGTGAAAGGAACTCTGGTAAACAGGAATTTGGTAATGTAGTAGTAAGGTGTGGAGGATGGGGAATCCCTCTGTAGTCTTATGATCAGGTCTGTCTTTTGGTTAGCCTGTGTCCCTGGAATGTGAACTTCACCATTGCTTCTCAGTCCTTCCCCTTTGGTAGGACAGGATAACTGAAGGAGGGTAGAGTTGGGATATTTTTCTTCCCCCATATCCCTTAGGCTCTTCTAAAACCCCGTCGGTTGAGCTCCAGTAAGATAGTTTTTCCATGTTAAGAAGAACAGAATTCTCTGCCATTTCAAATTTCGAAATGGCTTATTTTCTTCTTCCTCTACTGGAAGCATGAGGAGATTTTCCTTGAATATCCACTGAGACCTGGTAGAACTCCTGTAGGTAAAAATCACAAAAGTGTGGGAGCCCCCATGCATCCTCCTGGAGTTTTTAACTCACAGGCTTGTATACACTGAGCTTCTAACAATTTATCAATTACAGTTTAGGTTTTCCTGCCCAGGCACTTGTTCCCACACAAGTTTCTGATCATGGGTTTTTGGTAGTAAGCTGTGATTCTCTATATTTACCTGTCTATGTCTCCAATTTGAGGAACATGTTTGCCCGGTGACCTCACTTCTCTGTTGTATATAAGAGAATTGTTGATTTTTCCAGTTTGTTTAGCTTTTTACTTGCTGTAAGGACAGTGGTGACTTCTAAAGTTCTGACATGTCAGACTGGAAACTGGAAATGCAGTCTTAGATTTTACATTTAACTCTCCTCTGTAGAACTAGTCAATGCTACACTTTTTAAGTCATCTGTCAGCAAAATTATTGTGTAGGCAATTGTCAATTTGAGGCAATTAGTCCTATATTTTATTATTACAGGGCTCTTCTAATTTCTGCCTTTCAAATAAAAGTAATTGATGTTACTTGGAAATATCTTAGTTATATTTGGAGTAGAGAATATGAACTGTGATGAGAACTTTTGTGTGTTGGTTTATTTACAACAATAAGCCTGTGTGCTTTTGTGTCCATCTCTTGCTGCCATGGCCAACTCAGACCTAAAGTTCATCAAGAGTCTTTTTATGCATATTAATTTAAAATAAAATACCAACTTTTTATGATACTTAGATGAACCACAAAAGAATTTGGATAGATAGTTTAATCATTGCATGGATTGTTTAGCTTTAGTATCACAGACAGAGGCTCTGAAAGAAGAAAATGACAGCCTCCGTTGGCAGCTCGATGCCTATCGGAATGAAGTGGAACTGCTCAAGCAAGAACAAGGTAAAGCCCACAGAGAAGATGACCCAAACAAAGAACAGCAGCTGAAACTCCTGCAACAAGCCTTGCAAGGAATGCAACAGGTAAAGGCATTTTGGTTTTCTGAGCTTCTTGAAATGACAACATCAGTCTCTCGCCTGTAAAACAGTCCCCTACAGGCAAATAAAATATCAACCTGTCATTCTTCTTGATATCATATTCTCTGGCATGGCCAAGGAAGGAATTGTGTGTTGTGGTTAATGAATTATTCTGGTTAATACAGAGATAGCAATGGATCACCAATTTTCAAAGAATGAGCATTCAGTGAAAAATACTTAACATTAAAACTACACTGAACATAATCTTTTCTTTATGCTTCAGAAGGTACTTAGGGATCTAAACAGAGCCTCGGGGTCTTTATGAAGAACCTCAAATTAATTAGACATGAAAATGTGTTGATAAATAAATATCCAGTTGATAGAATGCCAAATAATACAGCCATTTAGAAGGAATGGCAGGAATCCTACCCTTGATTTGGATAGAAGTAGGGACATTATGGGGTTTTAAGTATCGATGCTTTAGGCACATAATACCAGTTTGTTTTTATTTTGTTTTGTTTTATATTTAACAGTTGTATATGTGAATGAGTTTACCTGCACATAATTTTAAGTATAAAAAGTAAAGTAAATAAGCGCATTCAACTGCAATTGCATTATGAGACAACACTGTGTAATAGATACTCAACATCTGTAAGTTTTATGTAACTATCACAAATGTATCAACATCTGCTTTCACTCTAGTAAAAGAGTAATGCTTCTGAGTAAGGGTGCTATCCTCTTCTGTCACGCCAGATTGCCAGCCATTTTCCTTACAATTTACATTGTGCAATCATTTTTTAACTCTATGCCTTAGAATTACCTAGGGCAAAGCTAATTGCTGGTTGAAAATTGCAAATTACCAAGAGGGAGTCTTTTCTAGCAAAGGAGCCCCATGTTATTACTTCTGCCACCATTGCCTTCCTTTGTGACAAGTAATGTCACATTAATATTTCACTTTTCCTATTAACAAAATGTGTGAAGTAATGCTTACCTTCCTTTTACTGTCACTATGGAGTTTAATTAGAATATGTAAATTGCATCAGAGATCTTTCTACCAAAAAATTCACCTCTTCAACTAGACTTGAAAGAATGCTAACAATGTACATTGTACCATGTTTTTTAGCCCTTCAGTGGTCTTTTGCAAGCCTCTGAAAAGCAAGACTTTGGGAACATTTTTGGTTTTATTGTTGTTGATTTGTTGTTTTTCTTCCTTTTACCTTGATTGTGAAACTTTTTCAAATAAAGACAGTTGTTCTACTTAAATGCAATCAAAAATGATGATTTTATCACTTCAAAGACCTTAGTGAGAATTAGGTCTCTACCTCCTAAAAATTAATTTCACTCATTTTGATTACCTCATATTGGAAAAATAGCATTGTAAACAATGATAAAATTTCTCCCATCTTATCCCAAAAGATATATGAGGGGGAACCCCAAAAAATCGGAATTATCTTTTGGAGGGCAGGTCCCTTGTAGTACAGGCTTCCCCCACTAGGTAAGTGTTGTAAGAACCCACCGGCATCAGTGTACCAGCTAGCGTTGTTGTGAGAGTCTGCATTTGGCTTCAGTTGATTTTTTTTGAGATTCCTTCAACATGTTTGTCCATTTCATGATGGGTGATTTACACAAACAACCTGCCCACACTGCAGTGAGTGTTTAGCAGTTGTTAACCAAAACGGCTGACCCCTATGCCCACCCTCTTTATTCACCCAATCTTGTCCCAAGTACTTCTTTTGTTGTTGTTTCCCTAATGAAAAAAGCCCTCAAAGGGAAATATTTTGCCAATGTGGAAGAGGTGAAACAAAAAATGGCAGAAGCACTAAAAGGCATCAAAATTGACGAGTTCAAGAACTGTTTTGAGCAGTGGAAAAAGCATCTTGATAAGTGTATTGCATCAAACGGAGAATACTTTGAAGGTGACCGAAGTTTAAACATGCAAGAATAAATACACGATTTTTTATAAATAAATTCTGGGGGAGGGTTGGTCCCTCCCTCATATAGTAAAATATGGTCGCTAAGAACATGAACTCTGGAATTAATCTGACCTGCTTTTAAATTCCAGCTCTACCACTTACTATCTGGATGGTCTTAAGGAAGCTATTTAACTCCTCTAAGCCTCAGGGATAATAGTATCATAGGATTATTATGGAGTTTCAATGAGATTATGCATATAAAACCTTCACACAATGCTTAGTATATTAGGCACTTGATTCTTAGTATTTGTTAAAATTGTTAATAATGATAAATCCAGGCTGGGCATGGTGGCTCATACCTGTAATCCCAGAACTCTGGGAGGCCAAGACAGAAGGATTGCTTGAGCCTAGGAGTTCGAGACCAGCCTAGGTAACATAGCAAGACCTAGTTTCTACAAAAATTTTAAAAATTGACCAGCTGTGGTGGCACATGCCTGTAGTCCCAGCTACTTGGGAGATTGAAGCAGGAGGATACTTGAGTCCTGAAGGCCGAGGCTGTGGTGAGCCATGATTGTGCCACTGCACTTTTTCTGGGTGACAAAGACCCTGACTCAAAAATTATAATAATGATAATGATAAATCTAGCTCCCTGCCTACTGGTAGGGAAACAAACATATGTAAAACTTGAATTCTTTACTACTTTCCTCATAGAAATTGAACTTGGCTTGGCAAATAACTATTTGCAAGAATGCTTTCTAATATTAAGTTCACATCTATGCAGCAATCAAGATATTACCCACACAGTATTAATGGCACCTTACCCTTACTCCTGCCCAGAATAGGGAAGGAGTTAAGTGACTAAAATATGAACAAGTTCAAAGGAAGTTCATAAGAGCCAGATAAAATAAATTGAAAAGTATATTGATTTTCCCAATCTCTGCATGGAAAAATGGTTGTGTGTGCTGGAGGCAGGCCCACCTGATATCTAATCTCAGCCAGGGACTTTGAGTATGACTCCCTAATTAGTAACTTGATTATCTTTGGTCTTTCTTATAGCATCTACTCAAAGTCCAAGAGGAATACAAAAGAAAAGAAGCTGAACTTGAAAAAATAAAAGATGACAAGTTACAGGTGGAAAAAATGTTGGAAAACCTTAAAGAAAAGGTACATGAGCCCTAAATGAACCTTTTCCCTTGCCTCTCTACCTACTACTTTGCAGTGACAATGAAAATAGCTTAAAAGTTACTGAGATAGGAATCAACGTGGAATGTTTGATTGGAAATTAAAAGCCCCTTTCCGGGGTAATTCTTGTATTAAGGGCTCTGTCTTTGCATATGAGTCCTTGGCATTTCTAAGGGTTCTGAACAGGAAGTCATTTAATCCCTAAAATCCCTCAGTTTCCTATTGGAGAAGACCAGAGTACACACTTGTTCCTTGCTTCATTTTGTCAAGCAAATAGCAATGTCGAAAACTTGTGTGACACAGAGTACCTTTAATTAAGTATTTCATTAAAGGAAGAAACATAAGTGCAGCTACAACATTAACATTTCTTTGCAGATGCTCCATTTAGTGTAATAATGAGCAACTGCAGGTGAGAGTAACAGCCAATGCCAAGAAGAGGGAAATCCTGGAAAGAAACAAGGGGGCGCAGTAGTCTACAGTGAGATGCTAGCAACAGGGAAGTCAATATTGGGACTTTATCAAGTGAGAGCCCTCAGCAATTAGAACCACTGGTGAGGACCTCTGGAAGAGTCTACTGACATCTGGATGGATTAGTGTATCACAACTGTGAATCAGGTCCCTGGTCTATTTAAGGTGTGTAAAATCTACGAATGGGTGTCTCCTTGTCATACCTCTCCAGTCTCCTTGACGCCTGAGCATTCAGCTGAAGTTACCATCTGAAAAGGAAAGCCCATTGATCAGAACTGCCTGATTTTAGTGTCTCCAAAGGGAGAGAAGATTAGAAGCTTGGGCTGAGAGTCAGAAATCAGCAATGATCCAGTTCTTCAAGAGCTCATGCTTTTTATCTTCTGTGCTTAGCTCAGGAAGATGCAATACATACAGGCCCTAAATGTATTACCAGCACAGTGCCTTCCCCCAGAGTGCCATTAAGAACTGGCAACCTTAGTGTAGTTGAAACAAATGATTGAAAGTGTTTTCTTCCAGAGGCCATTTGCAATATGCTTTTAATTCTTCCACTTCATAAAACCAACTCACTTTCCACTTTTGTGGGTACCATAAAGAAATGAGCACAATCCCGGAGAAATTCATTTATCAAGCATTTAATTGAAAAGTGCCAAAGCTGCTTTACTTATCAGGACTTTTCTCATACTATCAGAGCTTCTAAAATGTCCCAGAGCTGCCACATAGCTCTGTTTAACTTCCTGCATAAAATGGAATGTGTAGCCAGAAGACTACAGATAAACATGGGGTTATGCTCATGGCATTATGCTTAGAATCACTCTTCAGGATTGACATCACAAATTGACTTAAGTACATTTTTCATCTAAGCAGCTTTCTGCTTTGTAAAGTATTTCATTTAAAGAAGCAAAAGGTCAAATGACATAGAAGACACTTGTATTGTGCCCAGAGATAAGTGTTTCCCAGACAGAAACTGACTAGACCATGAAGGGGCAGCTAAGAAGACAGGGGAAGAGATCCAACTAATAATCCAAAAAAAGAGAGAGAGAGAATCAAAAGATAGTTTTTCCTGTTGTCTTAAGCAAAGCTTCATTTAGAAAAATTCATGACAGTTCATTATAAACTGATCTTCTCTGGGAAGCTGATTTGTGACCAAATATTTCAACCTGACACAATTAGGTTAGGAAGCAAAGTACCATCACATTAGACTGCAAAAATAATTTCAGGTTGAAAGGAAAGCAATAAGTTTTGGTGAGGAGGGATCTTTATTTTTTGTTTGTCTGCTTTTGTTTGGGTTTCTTGACAGTAATCTCAGTGTGAAATATTGTCGATGTTTTGCAATATAACAGTGTGACTTATGTCTGTCTTACTGCGGAAAGAACTAGCTCTTTGAGTCTGCTAGTAAAAATCAAGGTGATAAGCATCCCTTCAATATACCTTCTAATTTTTTAAATGCCAGCCATAATAAAATTGAAGTCAGGTTTAAGTAAGGCTGCAATTCTATTCAAGGTAGCTAAAACTTCTCAAGATATCTTAACATCTTAAGTTAAATTCAATCTGTTAAATTCTCACACTTAAGAAATGACTTACTAGATCATTTAATATTTTAAGGAGGTTAGAAGCAGATGAAGCCCATGGCTTACAAGTGAGCCAGCAGTTTAAATCAAACTTGGAATAATAGTTACTGCACATGGATTGGATTCTAAAGGCTAAAGATTGAATCTGTCATCAAGAAGGGGTTCCCTCTGACTACAGCCAAGAAGCCTGTAAATTCACAAAACAACATGTCTTACATCATAGGCCATTCATTTCATTCAGAAATAACATCTTGGAAGCTTTGAAGACATCTTTAAAGAAAACAGGAGAAATCCTGTCCCTGCTAAGGGTTTGTGGAAGGGAAGAAGTGACAGAGCACTGAGTCAGCCATGATCTGCCTCCCAAGGAGCATTTCACCAGCATTTTCTTTCATAACAATTAAAGACTGAAGCAGTGATGTATTTTATTCCTCCTTCTGAAAGCGTTTCTTTCACATTTATAATACAGAAAAGATGTTCTCAATACCCAAAGAGAAAAAGGAAGATCCATGGATGGTGGAGGTATTTTTCAGTTTGATTGCTAGTCATAGATTTTACTTGAGTTTCTCTTATGAAATCTACCTGTTACACTGAGAAAGAGAAAAACTTTCGACAACAAACTTTCGACAACAAAACAAACCTTTGACTAATGGTATTTTTGATCACAGTCATTTCTTGCTGTAAAATCAGGAATATTCTAACTGATAATGTCCTTATCAGAGAGAGGTAAGAGAGACAGAGAGTTTCTAGTCAACAAAGGCTGTAATTTTTAGTTCAAAACCAACAGTTGATTACCTGTGAGTGGATTGGCTATATTATGGATACTCCATTCAGAGATGGGGCTTTCCTTTAACAGAGTGTAGTGCTAAAATTAAAAAAAAGAATGGTCCATTCAACAGCGGGAGACCTAAAATGAATGAAATTCTGGCTCCACCACTTCCTAGCAATGTGATCTTAGCCAATTTACCTGATTTATCTGAGCCTTACTTTCTTAATCTGTAGAATGAAGATAACACATATCTACAGTACTCAGCATCTACTTTGTAGGCAATAAATGTTAAGTCTGGTTCCCCAGATTACTTATATATAGTTAAGTATGATGAAGGCAGAAAAAAAAACTGGTAAAGATGAATGTTTAAATTTTCTTGTGTTTTGAAACCATATAAATAAGCTTCAGAATATCTGTGTTTTTTGTGTTATGCTATTTTCAATCATCTAAAATTGGACAGTATTGTTTTGATGGTCCTGTGTTAAAAAGTTACCCATTATGCAGTTAATTGAAACCAATTCAATTGCCAAATAAGATGAACTGACACAGGAAGCATGTTATTCCCACAGGAAAACTGTGCTTCTAGACTGTGTGCATCAAGCCAGGATAGCGACTATCCTCTTGAGAAGACCATGAACAGCAGTCCTGTCAAATCTGAACGTGAAGCGCTGCTAGTGGGTAAGGAAGCTAACCCACACATACCACATACAACACATAGGCTACATTGGACTAGGGGAGGGGCTTACTCAGATTAATAAGCACACGCCAAGTATCTATGAAGCCTAACAGTGCAAGAACTCAGAGTCCTGAAGATGATAGGTTAAGAACAAGTACAGATTTCCATTAAAATTGTAACAGCAACTCCCAGCTCTCTTCAGACTCCTTGTAACCACTGCCACGTCAAGCATGTCAGTACAAGCATTATGCTAAGAGGGGGTCAACTGTAGAAACATAGTACAGATTTTTAAAAATCTCTGTGCAAGGATAGCTAAGCCCTATTGGAGCTAACGCAGACCCTATTTGGTAAAGAACTTTTCCAGATGAGCTCCTGGTACAAATATATGCCTCTCAAGTTTTTCCAGGTTACTAGCTAGGTTATTTTTACTCACAACATTCTGGCACCAAATAAGAGGTGTTTTCTTGTTTTGTTTTTCGTGTGCTTGCCTGTTTTACCTCATGATACCGAATGCATGGTGTCTTTTCCAACACCACATCTCCAACTTTCAACACCAACTGCCTGTCCTACAATTCAGTTTAATTCTGACACTCACTACCCAAAGTTACCATTAGGTGCCACAGGTTTAAGGGCTCAGTCTCACATGACTGCCCTCACTTTAGATGCCAGTCTCAAATATCAGGTCTCCAAGTTAGCCACACTTCTGTCTGATTTGGCTACAGAGTCGGGGGTTCCTACGTCTCCCCACCCCATTCAATAATTTGCTAGAATGATTTGCAGAACTCAGGAAAGTGTTTTACTTACTATTACTGGTTTATTATGAAGGACATAATGGAAAAAATGCACAGAGCAAGGTGTTAGGCGAGGGTATGTAGAGCTTCTATAATCCTTTCTGGGCGCACCCCCCTCCCAGCATCTCAACGTGTTCACCAGCTGGGAACTCTGAACCCCGTTGTTTAGGGGTTTTTTAATGGAGGCTTCATGACATAGGCATGATTAATCAAATCATTGGCCATTAGTGAGTAAATTAGTCTCCAGCCCCTCTCTCCTCCCCTATGGTGGGAAGGAGTCTGAAAGTTCCAGCTCTCTAATCATACCTAGGTCTTGCTGGGTGGCCAGTCTCCATACTCAAGTATCTGGGGCCCCCAGCCATCAGTCATCTAATTAGCATAGGCATGTGTTTGGTGGGTCATTATTATGTGTTGTTATGTAAGTAAAGGCTCACTAGGAGTGTGAGAGTGTAATTGGAGGCTTTGGCAATTGACTAGTACCCCTTATAATTGGAGCCCCCGACATAGCATTCCCTCGAATAAACAACGTAAGCTTCTGATTATTACCACCATCTTTCCTTCTACTTCTAGCCTCCTCAGTAGTTGAAGCTGGAGCAGGAACTGGTTGAACTGTCTATCCCCCTCTAGCAGGATTTAGCCCACGCAGGAGCCTCTGTAGATCTCACTATCTTCTCTCTTCACCTAGCAGGAGTATCTTCTATCCTAGGTGCTATTAACTTTATTACAACCATTATCAATATAAAACCTCCCGCTATATCACAATATCAAACCCCCCTATTTGCGTGATCTGTCCTAATTACCGCTGTTCTACTGCTACTGTCTCTCCCAGTTTTAGCGGCAGGGATTACTATACTCTTAACTGACTGAAACCTTAACACAACCTTTTTTGACCCCGCTGGAGGAGGAGATCCTATTCTTTATCAACATTTATTCTGATTCTTTGGCCACCCTGAAGTATATATTCTTATTCTACCTGGATTTGGCATAATCTCCCATATTGTAACCTATTATTCTGGAAAAAAAGAACCATTCGGTTATATAGGAATAGTTTGAGCCATAATATCTATTGGTTTCCTAGGTTTTATTGTCTGAGCTCATCATATATTCACAGCAGGAATAGATGTAGATACCCGAGCATACTTTACATCTGCCACCATAATTATTGCTATTCCAACTGGCGTAAAAGTATTTAGCTGATTAGCAACTCTGCATGGAGGTAACATTAAATGGTCTCCTGCTATACTACGAGCCCTAGGCTTCATTTTTCTATTCACCGTTGGCGGTCTAACCGGGATTGTCCTTGCCAATTCACCTCTTGATATTGTCCTCCACGACACCTACTATGTAGTAGAACATTTTCACTATGTCCTATCAATAGGAGCAGTATTTGCAATTATAGGAGGCTTCGTCCACTGGTTCCCTCTATTCTCAGGATTTACCCTCCACCCAACCTGAGCCAAAACCCATTTTGCAATCATATTTGTAGGAGTTAATTTAACGTTTTTTCCTCAACATTTCCTTGGATTATCAGGTATACCCCGACGATACTCCAATTACCCTGACGCATATACTATATGAAATACCATCTCCTCTATAGGCTCATTCATCTCTCTCACTGCAGTTATATTAATAGTCTTTATAATTTGAGAGGCCTTCACCTCAAAACGAGAAGTATTAGCAGCTGAACTTCCAGCTACAAACCTTGAATGACTTCACGGCTGCCCCCCACCTTATCATACATTTGAAGAACCTATGTAAAGGCATAATTAATTACAAGAAAAGAAGGAATTGAACCCCCCAAGATTGGTTTCAAGCCAACTCCATAACCACTATGTCTTTCTTTATAACAAAATACTAGTAAAACTATTACATAACTTTGTCAAAGTTAAATTACAGGCTAAATCCCTGTATATTTTTATGGCACATCCTCTCCAACTAGGCTTTCAAGACGCCACCTCCCCTATTATAGAAGAATTACTTCATTTTCATGACCATACCTTAATAATCGTTTTTCTAATTAGCTCACTAGTACTTTATATTATTACCCTAATATTAACAACCAAACTAACTCACACAAGCACAATAGATGCCCAAGCAGTAGAGACAGTATGAACCATTTTACCAGCTATTATCCTTATCTTAATTGCTCTTCCTTCCCTACGTATTCTTTACATAATAGACGAGATTAATAGCCCATCCCTAACCGTTAAAACTATAGGACATCAATGATACTGAAGCTATGAATATACAGACTACGAAGACCTAAATTTTGACTCCTATATGATCCCTACAACAGACCTCAAACCAGGAGAACTTCGACTACTAGAAGTTGATAACCGTGTAGTCCTATCCATAGAAATACCAATTCGAATATTAATTTCATCAGAAGATGTCCTTCATTCATGAGCTGTACCCTCCCTAGGCTTAAAAACTGATGCCATCCCCGGACGCCTAAATCAAGCAACACTTACATCAACCCGACCAGGCCTCTATTATGGCCAATGCTCAGAAATTTGTGGATCCAATCATAGCTTCATACCCATCGTCCTAGAACTAGCACCACTAAAATATTTTGAAGATTGATCAACATCAATAACTTAATTAGCACCGTGAAGCTTATATAGCATTAACCTTTTAAGTTAAAGACTGAAAGTACTAACCTTTCCACAGTGAAATGCCCCAACTAAATACATCAACATGATTTATTACTATTTTATCCATAACATTAACACTTTTCATCTTATTTCAAAACTGATATATCCCCTCAATCTAAACTTAAAAAATATTAAAACACAAACATTTAAATCCCCTTGAGAACTAAAATGAACAAAAATTTATTTGCCTCTTTCATTACCCCTACAATAATAGACCTGCCAGTAGTAGTACTAATTATTATATTCCCAATCATCCTATTCCCCACCTCAACTCACCTAGTTAACAACCGATTCATCTCTTTACAACAGTGATTGATTCAACTAGTACTTAAATAATGACTGTACATAGTAATAAAGGTCGAACTTGATCTATAATACTGATTTCCCTAATTTTATTTATTGGATCCACAAACTTACTAGGCCTGTTGCCTCACTCCTTTACACCAACTACTGAACTAACAATAAATCTAGGTATAGCAATCCCTTTATGAGCAGGAGCAGTAATTACCGGTTTCCGCTACAAAACCAAAGCATCCTTAGCCCATTTTCTCCCACAAGGAACCCCTATTCGCCTAATCCCTATATTAATTATTATCGAAACTATTAGTCTTTTCATTCAACCAATAGCCCTAGCCGTACGACTAACCGCTAATATTACAGCAGGTCACTTACTTATACATCTAATTGGAGGAGCCACTCTAGTCCTATTATCAATTAATACCATCGCAGCATCAACAACATTTATTATCCTTATACTACTTACAATCCTAGAACTAGCTGTAGCCCTTATTCAAGCCTACGTATTCACACTCCTAGATACTCATCACTCTAGGAATTTCAAGGGCCTTAGGAGCTGTTTGCCAGGAACTAAGGACAGAGACCAAATATTTAATTTTTTATTGTATCACATTGGCAGATGACTCAAGAGACTGTAGTGTGCTGGATACATGTGAGCTCTGATTAGATCAATGCTAGAATTGCTCTCTCTATATAAAAATTCATTCTGAAAAGCAGGATAGCACAGATGGTTAAAGAATCAGACAGACCTAGCATCTCATATTGACCCCCCGCCCCAATTCTTTTATGAACTTCAGTTTCCCCATCTGCAAAATGGGCATAATGATATTGCCTACCTCAGAGGGTAGTTGTGAGTATTAAATATAGTAACTCCCAGTCTGGGCAACATAGCAAGACCTTGTTTCTTCAATTTTTTTTTTAATTGGTTGGGCATGGTGGTATGCACCTGTAGTCCTAGCTACTTGAGAGGCTGAGGCAGGAGGATTGCTTAAACACAAGAGTTCATGGCTACAGTGAGCTGTGATCACACCGCGGACTCCAGCCTGGGTGACAGAGCAAGACCCTGATCAATCAGTAACTAATTCATCTAAATCACTTAGCATAATGCCTGGCCCATAGTAAGTTCTTAGTAAATAGAAGCCATTTTATACTAACAATGCTAGTTGCAATGCTTGTTGACTTTATATTCCACTTGGAGAACAGTGACAGATTGAGGTTTCAAAATACTTAAGAGAGGCTAATCATTGAAGAGTCTTGGGCCAGAGCAGGTCATCCCAGCTGCCTTCTAGGAAGCTGAGGCCACAGTAGCCCCACCCCAGTCTCAAAATTCCTCCTCACAGACTGGCTTCTGATATTTTTCAGATATGTCTGCCTCCTCTGGTAAGGGATATTATACTCAAATTTAACACCTTGATGTGTTAATAAAGATACACGGGGAGATCTGCCATTGAGCAAAGACTCAATGTAAAAGTAACAACTTATTACAACTTATTAACGTTTTCCAACTCAAAGTTCTTTTTTTTTTGAGTTGGAGTCTCACTCTGTCGCCCAGACTAGAGTGCAGTGGCCGCTCCTGGCCACCGCAGCCTCGACCTGCTGGGCTCCGGCGATCCTTCTGCCTCAGCCTTCCAAGTAGCCGGAACTACAGGCGCGTGCTACCACACCTGGCTAATTTTTTGATTTATTGTAGAGATGAGGTCTCACTGCCCAGGCAGGTCTCGAACCCGCGGGCTCAGGCAATCCACTCACTTCAGCCTCCCAAAGGCGCGGGATTACAGGCTGAGCCAAATTGGCATGGCAATAGGGAGACCTGCCAGAGAAGTGCTGGGGGTAGAAGGCAGCCTCTGTAAATGGATAATCCTAGAAAAAATATTCTTTTTTTTGTTTTGTTTTGTTTTGAGTTAGAGTCTCACCCTGTCGCCCAGGCTGGAGTGCAGTGGCCGCTCCCGGCCACCGCAGACTCGACCTGCTGGGCTCCAGCGATCCTTCCGCCTCAGCCTTCCAAGTAGCCGGAACTACAGGCGTGCGCTACCACACCCAGCTGATTTTTTGATTTATTGTAGAGATGAGGTCTTGCTGCCCAGGCGGGTCTCGAACCCTTGGGCTCAGGCAATCCGCTCACCTCAGCCTCCCAAAGGCACGGGATTACAGGCTGAGCCACCAAGCCCGGCGGAAAAAATATTCTTAAAATAAGTGTTTCTTGCTTTGTTTTTTTAAAGAAGGTTGTCTTGGGCTGGCAGAGAAAAAGGAAATCTGTTTTCTAAATCAGTTCTTTGGGTGTGAGCCCACCAAAACCACTTAGTGTTTTTAAACGTATGGAGTTATTTCTTGGCATTTAACAGCCTTTATTGTCCATGACATCCAGCATTTCTTTGAACATGTACTGTCTTCTTCAGAATTTTAGTTTGTCAGCCAGAACCAGTGTTTAGAAATTCAATTTACCTAGCCATATAACGATAAAGTAGTGTTGTAAGTAATAGCATTCCTTTTGAATAAATCTGGAGCACCCTCCCAATCCATCCCCTTGCCATCTAATATTTGAAAGATTTTTCACAAAGGATTGATTGAACTTCAAAGTACAATTTAAACTTGTGCTAGTCTTTGTCAGTGTTTTAAAAGGACAGATGTGTTGTAGTTTATAAACCAAATCAAATTTCACTTTTATTTCCTGGCAGTTTTCAGCAAACTCAATTCTGGATCTATTTGATGTACCTAAGATCTTATGAAAGGAGGTGAACTCAAAAAATTTAAGCAAAGAAATAGTACACTTTTAAGCAATTTATTTTCCACCTGTTGCCAGAGAAAGAAGTATTAGAACAATTAACCTGATGACCAGAGCAATCAAGGCAGTACGTGTAGCTGCCAGTCACCCAGAGTCAGGCTGAGTAGGAAGCACATGCATTCTTGGAGGCTGTAAGCTGCTACAAGAATTCTGTTACCCAGAGAAATTCAGGGGTCTAAGCAAAAAATGCTAGTGACCACTTGAATCAGACGTGAATGAAATGTTTGGCTTTTCTTTACAGAGCTATTCACAAAACAAAACCCAAATACAATCTACAGATTCTCTTGAGAGAGGCACTAGGTTAATCAGGAAAGTACATGATTTGCACATTTGCCATACCAGCAGGAATTATTAACACCTAAGAGCTAAAGTCTAATTTAAAGACCCTACAAAGGAACTTCGAATACCCAGCACAGTCTAAATTCATTGTAAAATTCTAGAATTCTAATGGTGTTTAGCCACCACAAAAAAATGGAAGTGACTCCTCAAATGCCAGCTTTTCTACATATGATTTAGTAGAGAGAGGCAGTATGTATCATAGTTAAGAGTGACTGGATGCAAATGCCAGCTCTGCTACTTACCAGCTGTGTGACCTGGGACAAGTTGCTTAAACTTTCTGTGCCTCAGTGCCCTCACCTGTGAAATGGGGATGGCAACCTCACAGGGTTGTTATAAAAATCAAATGAGTAAATTATTTGTAAACTTATAATAGTGTCCAGTATGTTTATGTTGTACATCTGAGTTAGTTCTTACTATTCACTGTCATATGGAATCTCAGGAAATCCAAGGCTCAAGTCTAACCTCCATGATACTGTCTCCATAGGGATTATCTCTACATTCCTTCATGTTCACCCATTTGGAGCAAGCATTGAATACATCTGTTCCTACTTGAACCGTCTTGATAATAAGGTATGTGAGGACCTGAAACAGGGATGCTAAGGGATATAGAGCTCTTTGTGGACAGGTGACATAACACTCCTCAAGCACAGATAGGTCATTAGTTATTGCTCTAAGGAATGTTCCTTCATCTGTTCTCTCACTGTGTATCCATGTAGAGCTTCCCTCTTGCAAGTAGGATGATTATCTATCCCAATTTTCAAGGGACTGAAGGGTTTCCTGGTACAACGTTTACTGTTAAAACCCAGGAGGTCTTGGGCAAACTTGAGAGAGTTGGCCACCCTACTCCTAACATACATCATAGAAGAATTTTGCTCCCTTTGCTTAATTTACATATAAGCTTCAAATTAACCATTATTATCTTTCTCGCCCATTTTTGTCCTGAGTTTTTAGCCAGTAGCAAATGTTCGTTTTCAAAATTGGAAGGCTTACTCCATTCACCTCTCCCACCATCACCACTACCACTGTCAGTTACAAAACAATCCAGGCAGGGGCCACAAAGAAAAAGAAAGGACTGGAGCAATTAGCCAAGGGCCTCTGTAACACAGACTGAGTATTCACTCACAGCTGATCTCATGGCCATTTCCTTCCCTGGATGCTATCCATTGGGAAAACTCACAGGGCACCTGGAGCACAGGTAAGTGCCAATTCCCCAGGAAGTCAGAGATGCCTCTTAGAAGCTGTAGATCCCTCTTGATTCCTCAGAATAAATCAGCCCAGGATACATTTTTTTCAGAAGCAGCATTCAGTTAAACCTGCTCATAAATTGTACTCCCTATTTCAAACAATCTTAAAAAGAAGTGCCAGTGAATGCAGATTCCTAGCAGGTGGATGTCCAGAAGGTCAAGCCATTTAAGCATATGTCCTCTTAACAAAGGCACAGGCCCACTTGGGAATCTTATTGCTCTAGCCATATACTAGCTGTGGTGATCCATCCTCCTCAGTGGCATTTGCTTTAGTTCTAGCTAGCACTCCCCCCTCATTTCCCTCTAGGAAGTAATGCTATTCTGCAATTAAATAGCCCATCTGTCAGTGAAGGGGAGGACAAAATGTGAGTACTAGGACCAAGTAGTCATTTGCAATGGTATGAAATGAACTATGTGTCAGTAAAAACTATGTGCTTCTTTTTTAATTTATAAAAATAATACATGCACATTATCTTAAAAATGTAAGCAATATAGAAATATAGTAAAGGGAAAGTGAAAAATACCCACAATCCCTCTCCTCAAGGATAACCACTGTTAACAGTTTGGCACAAGCTGGTCTGGTGGTAGTGGGTTATTAGAACTTTTTTTTTTTTTGAGTTGGAGTATCATTCCGTTGCCCAGGCTGGAATGCAGTGGCATGCTAATGGCCACCTCAGTGTCAAGCTGCTGGGCTCCGGCGATACTCCTGCCTCAGCCTTCCAAGTAGCTGGAACTACAGGCACGCGCTGCCACACCTGGCTAATTTTTTATTTTATTGTAGAGACGAGGTCTCACCAAGTTGTCCAGGCTGGTCTTGAACCCTCAGGCAATCCACTTGCCCCGGCCTCCCAAAATACTGGGATTACAGGCTGAGCCACCGAACCTGGCCAGAACTTATTAACATTGGTGTTACTCAACTTGGTGTACAACTCCCCACTTAAATTTGACTGGAGAAAGAAGAGGGAGGGAGGAAGAGAAGAAAAGAAAAGAAGGAAGAAAGAAAAAGTTTGGCACATATTTTGGACCCTTTCCTACACATATGCTGGGCCTGTATTATATGTCTATATCTATAAACGTGATCTATGTTTTCTGAAGTGGGGATTCTACCCTGTACAGTACCCCGCAATGTACTTTATTCATTTAACTGGATTCAATCTACTACCAGCACTGGGAAGAAGGCATGACTTCACTCAGAGTCTAGGCCCAAGTCTCCCTTAGCAACTTTCTGCCAGGATAGTTACCACAGTCTCCCAAAGAGAGCCTACAGTGGTACCAACAAAATTGAGACTCCCTTCCTCCAGCTTCAGGGACATTCAGTGTGGCAACAACTATGGGTTTCTTTAAGGATACCCTGGTACTCTTCAGCGCAGCTCTGGTGCCCAAGTTCACAGTTAGAAAGGTATGAAGAGATGACTAATGTAAAGATAACCACCTAAAACAAGCCCAATGGAGTCCACGGATGTGTTTTTGTTTTTGTATTGAGGGCTGAGTGTGTGTATATAAAGTGGAGAGAGTGAAACAATGCACAGAAGTAGGAATGCAGAGCACTCCCCATTCCTGTTACTGTTCCTTTGTGAACACGAACTAATGTGTGTGTGAAGAATCTGCTCTGGTGGTAGCCATTTCTACCTCCCTCCCCTCCCAAAAGACTTGGCAGCTTCAGTGGGCCTGTACATAGCATCCCCAACACTGAGCAGCCATCATTCAGCTGGCTACAAACCCAAGCTTCTCCATGTGACTGACCCCAGCTCTTTCCAAAAGCAACCTCACTGGACCTTGTCTGGTAATCACAGCAGAGGAACGCTGCCAGCTGGAAGTCACTCTACCCTCACACACAAATGCACAAGGAAAGGGAGAAGGTTAAACCCCCCTGCACCATACACACATACACGTCAGCATTCTAAAGTAGGCAGCACCGGGAAAGAAGATGAACAAAGTGGAACTGGTTTTGAGTGGAGATGTTCTCTCTGCCCACAGATCTGCACCAGTGATGTGGAATGTCTCATGAGCAGACTCCAGCATACCTTCAAGCAGGAGATGACTGGAGTTGGAGCCAGCCTGGAGAAGAGATGGAAATTCTGTGGCTTTGAGGGCTTGAAACTGACCTAAATCTCTTTGCCTAACAACTTGGGATCCTGAAAATAAATGTGTTTTGGACAAGCTTAGAAAATGATTTGTATTTTCAATGGTTTTCAAGTGTAAATTGCTTTGAATTTGTGAATTCATTCCTGGAGTCTGTTTTGAGTTAAAATAAGGATCCTAGAACAGCACCTCGAGCTACAGGCCCTAAAAGAAATTGCCTCAAACCTCAAGTGCTGTAAGTTCCTTCCCTTTCTGTCAGTTGGTTGTCCTTAAGTATTTGCAAAAGCCCTGAGGCTAAGGAGTATTTGGAGTGTTTTCAGTGTCTGTACTACTGTTGTAGACTTTGGTATTTTTTTAAACACTGTTGACTGAAATATTTTGATGATTTGTATGTGATTTGTGTTTCCAAACTTCTCTTTACATCAGTGTTGCTATTGGTAAAAGGAATGAGAGCAGCCCTAGGTACTCTGTGTAACTGCCATTGTCTTTCCAATCCCCAGTAGACCAGTAAATGAGTAATACATCAGTGTCTTCTAGAAGGTGCTTGACCAGGTTCACCTTTTAAATGACAAAGCATGGTTTGTGGCTTTTTGCAAAATTACTATGAACCAAATGTTGACAGATGTTCCAAAGGTATTTTCTCTAATATATCAGATAAAAGGTCTATTTCAGAATTTTAAAAAATAGTTGTATTCACAGAAAGCAAGTATTCAGTGTAACTGGCATGTGTTTGTGCTGTTCAGAATCACTTGTAAATAATCTGCTTTTAAAGGAGGGCATGTTTAGTTTTCTATGAATTAAAACACATGTGGGCTCACACTCACACATGCACACATGTTGGCAGAAGGGATTTATTTTAATATTCTTTCCCCTCTGGCCTTCTTAAAGTCCATTGGTTCCTTTTCTTCTGCTGTCAGTGTGTTGAATTGCAAACTGTGTACTGCTGTGAATACTATGTTTACTTCGTGCTGAATGTTTGCGATGAGTTGATATAAGCATTAATAGTATTGGATTAATGAATAAACAATGGCCCAGGGTGTGTGAGGCTTCCTGCACATAGGTCAGCTCTACCTGGAGTGCTGATTGCTGGGGACACCTCCAGTTGTATGGTACCCATGAACAGATTACAATGGCAGAGTGTAAGTGGACCATTTAAAACATCCTGCTTGGTGGAAAAGAAAAGGAAAGATAGAGGTGTGGGGCTCATATCCTGAGGCAGAGATGACCTCTATTTTTTGTGGCAGTGGTGGTGCTTATCATAACACAAGTATGCCCTCCCTTGAGTCTCAATCTAAGATAAGAGAATGTACCAAGTAAGCAAAGCCAATGGAGAGTATTTCACGAAAATACTTTGTAAATGAGATGTCAGTAGTGTTCAAAGTTGTATTTTCAAAAGATAAATATTCCTTTTTTATAACTCAGTTTCCTGTTCTGTTTTGAATAACTTGCTCTCTAAGTAATCCTCGAGTAGATCATCTCAGTATCTTCCTTTGGGTTACCAGGATGTTGAAAGGAATTGCTATACCTGCATTGACAACTAGAGTTAGGGTCCCATAGCAGTCCATTCATGTTGAAAAGTGGCTTCCCTGTCAAGTACCCTGCTGTGGCACCAGCAGGATGCCAGTTTATTTTTATACTGGCTTCCTCACTGAGGCATCTCTGTCATCAATGCTATGGAAGACTTTGATCGTCTCAGGGGCTCCTGGCATACCTTATTTTAATAATATCTATCAAATCAAGGGAAGCTTTTCATTTATCAGTTATTTCTTATTTAAATAAATTAAATTAAATTTTAAAGTAACAGCTTCCACACCTAAACACCTTGCTCTCCTTCACTTAATCTACTTATATTGCAAATTGTCTGTTTCTACTACTACTGCCAGTTTAGTACAGGCCCTCTTAGCCTGCTTGAAGATAATAGTTGTAATGGCTTAATGTGTCAATTTGGCTAGGCTATAGTGCCCAGTTGCTTGGCCCAACACCACTGTAAATGTTGCTGTGAAGGTGTCTTTCAGATGCCATTAACATTGGAATTAGTAGACCTTAAGTAAAGCATTCATGATGTGAATGGGCCTCATCTGATCAGTTGAAGGCCTTAAGAGAATAGACAGAGGTCCTCCAAGGAAGGAACTCTGCTTCCAGACTGCCTTAGAACTCAAGACTACAACATCAACTTCTGCCATAATTTCCAGTCTGCTGGCTAAGCCTACAAACCTCAAACTTGCCAACCCGCACAATTGCAAGAGCCAATTCCTTAATATAAATATTCCTCTCTCATATATTTATATCTATGTGTCTATAGATAGATATGTATATATATGAATATGCATTACATTACACAATCAAATTGTAGCACATACCATTTCTCAAAGTCCTTTCCATTCATCATAGAAATGTATTAATGAAGCTATTTTTATACAAATTCTCAGTGCTATTTATGGTTCTGTTGTTCTCCAGAATTTTGAAATATTGCTATTTGGTTATTTTTATGAGATACAGTAGTTAGATTTTTTTTCCAGACAATAATGAATAGAAGATTTCTTTTATTTTACAAATGATTCATTCTTACATCTCCCTCCCTAATCCTGTAACATCTCTCATTCTGATTTTTTCATAATACCAAGTTTCTTGGTAAATGTCTTCAATGCCAATGAAAAAGTTATTTTTCTTTCTTTCTTTCTTTCTTTTTTGAGTTGGAGCCTCACTCTGTCACCCAGACTGGAGTTCAGTGGCATGCTCCCGGTCATCACAGCCTCACCCTGCTGGGCTCTGACGATCCTTCCACCTCAGCCTTCCACGTTGCAAGAACTACAGGCCCGTGCTACCATGCCCAGCTATTTTTTTTTAATTTATTGTAGAGATGAGGTTTCGCCAAGTTGCCCAGGCAGGTCTCCAACCCTCAGGCTTAGGCAATCCACTCACCTCGGCCTCCCAAAGTGCTGGGATTACAGGCTGAGCCACAAAAAAGTTATTTTTCAAGGAAAATTACACATATATTTGTGTTCAGGTTATTAGAGATTTTTTAAATTTGGACCCCAGAATGTATGATTTTTATATAATGCAGAATAAACTGCATTATTTGAAAAGACAGCGAAGATGAGCAAGAACTTTTGACTCATCCAGTAGAATTGTGTGAGCCCTTGGGATTCTCAGCCGTCTTGGACAGGCCATCAAATAGATCTGGCTTCATTTTTCCCCACAGTTGCTACCATATGGGAGCACCTATTATATAGTCATGGTGCCCAAAGTCACTTCCTTTCTGTGTGTCTTTAGGCAGTTACACGGACACAACGAGAGCTTCAATGTTCTTATAGGCAAAATTAAGGAGAAATGGTACCAACCTCACAGAGTAGTAGGAAAGATTCAACAAGATAGCATCTGCAAATTGCCCAAACTGTGGCCCATAGTGAGTTGCCAGTGAGAGTTATAATTATGATTCAGCCAAAATTTATGACCCTACCCACATTTTTTTTTAAGTTTTTGTGTTCACACCTAGAATTGTGGGGCTACATCATGTTGCTGGACCCCACAAGAAAAAAAATCAGCTATTCATATTCCAAACATTTACTCCATCCTAGAAACTCTTCCTGGCACTGTGGGATACAAAAGACTTTGTCCCTTGCCTTCAAGAAGCTGGAGGGACAGCTATAACACAATAGACTTAAGTATTTCACCCTTCAGCCAAAACGGTAAAAGCTCAGTGTGAAACTATTCAGTGCTGAATAGTGCTGAAACTATTCAACACTGAATGGTGTGAATAGGTGGTAATGGTGTCTTGCTCTGGAGACCTGAACAATGACTGTGCCCCACACCTGCCTCTGGAGTATAAAATTCATGAGAGTATGGTCCTTATTTGTCTTGAGTACTACCACATCCCCAGAACCTAGTGCATTGTAAGTGCTCAGTAAAGGTTTACTAAATGACCATTTACATAGCATTCTAAACTACATTCATATGTGCTAATAATAATAATAAAAGCTAACATTGATTAGTGATTCCTACCTACCAGGAGATTTTATATGTATACACACATACACATTAATGTTCACTACAAAGTGAAAAGTAGATGGTGTTCGCCTCCATTTCAGCTGAGACTTGGAGATAAAGTAACTTGCTTAACGTTTTTAGGAGACAGAGATAAGATCTGAATCTTGGTCTCTCCAACTGCAAGCTCAAAGATTGCTGCTGCTCCAAAATTTTATTTAACTTTCATATCAGTCTAATTGGTAAGTATTATAATAAACCCCACATTGTTCATTCATGTGCCATTATAAAGCACCCCGTATGTGCAAGTCTGGGCCCTAGAAATTTAAAGGTGAACACAGCATGGCCCCTTCCCTCAAGAGCTTACACTCTGGTGGGGGAACCTGCTAAATGACACAGTAATGGTGCCCCAGGTCACTTTCTAACACGTCACTTCACTGCGCCTTTCTAAAGGTATCTAGAAAGTGGAAATATAAGTATATTTTCCTCAACGTTCCATTTATGAGGTTTTGTTCAATGTACAGTGCCTGGCAAAGTAAGTGTTCATTAAATAGCTATAATTATTATCCAACTAACAGTCATATTAACAATGCTTTAATGATACCAGAGTTACCTTTACAGTACTGAGGATCCCATAGGGACCCACAGTAACTTAAAAAAAGAATGAGACCTGCTGGCTCAGAGAAATTCAGGAGATTTTACTGTACAGTGCTCTGTTAGTAGTAGGTAATGCCCAGCTCAAGCCAGACGCAGGGGGGCAATTTCTCCTGCTGTCTTCTGATATAGTCTCAATATTCTTCCAATTCCACCACTTCCTATCACAGAACAGACCACACCGCATTAACAAGGAGACTAAAGGAGTCTTCTCTCCCATCTTCCAAGATCCATAACAACATCCCTGTCATTCAGTTTGACAGTAAGCTTTGAGAATCTCAGCTTGCCTAAATGTTCTATATGGGAGGAAGATCTCAAAGCAATTAATTATTGGTGCAGCAGAAGGAAAAGAAATTGATTGTGCACAGATATGAGCATTCAAGGCAATAGAGCCTTAGGACATTACACGAGATCTTGGGTGGAAATGGTATGCGGGTCATATTAAAGAGTGTTCTTCCCACCTGCATTCACTCCAAGTCTGTTTGAATATTAGATTGACCCTAAAATTAATAGCCCTCTGTGGCATCAGATCTCTGAAACCTCAACTCATTACTATTCCTCAATAAATACCTTATGTGGTGCTTTAAGGTGTTTTCAAGGCAACTCTGTGCACAGGTATGATGTCATTTGATCTTCACCACACCCTGTGAACATGGCTCCCTCGCCATTATTGCCTCTAAGGAAATCGAGTCTCAAAAGGATGAAGACCCACAGCCTAGGTCCCACAGCTAAGTGATGTTGGAGCTGGGATGCGAATGCGGGATTCCTGAGTCCTCCTAATCTCTACTCCACTTCAGCTACAGCCTCGGCCTTGTATGACCAAGAGAATGTAACATAAGGGTTCATGACATTTTGGGTGCTATGTACCCCTTGGAAAGTCTTGTGAAGCACATAAACCCCTTATCAGATGTTTTTAAATCCATGAAGTAAAATCCAAAGGATTACAAAGGAAACCAACTAGAGATGCCCTCAACTTACATGGATTTCCATCCCAATAAAGCTTCATAAGTTGAAAATAGTGTTAAGTCAAAAATGCATTTAATACACCTATCAAACATCACAGCTTAGCCTCGCCTATCTTAAACATGCTCAGAACATTTACATTAGCCAATAGTTGGGCAAATTCGTCTCACACAATTTCCATTTTATAACAAAATGTTAGCTATCTCGTGGAATTTATCGACCACTTTACTGAAAACAGAATGGCTGTATGGTTACTCAAAGTACAGTTTCTACTGAATGTGTACCACTTTTGCACCATTGCAAAGTTGAAAAATCATTAAGTCAAATCATCATAAGTTGGGGACAGTCTGTATATTGAAATGCTACACTTATCAAAATATGTTTAAAACACATTTTGATATAGTAACATATATGCTTCTCTAACACCTGAAATTGCAATAAAAATGACAAGTCTAATAACTATTCCAGTTTTGAAGTAGTGATGAGCAAAAAATTTTCAAGAAATCTGTAATATTGTGTGATATAATAATATCTGTGATACAGATGAAAAAGTCATAGGTAATGTTAATACCTCTGTAGTGTGCTACCTACATTTATAGTGGCAGAAAATGCTACATTTCAGAAGTTAGTGAAAATATAAATATAATTGTCCCAGCCAAATTCACATACTCACTAAATTCTACCTAAATTCTCTAGGTGAAAAACTGCTTATGGGAAGGGCTGATGACACATAAAGTGAGAACCACCAAAGTGGAACCAGGATTAACTTCATTAAATGCAGTAATATTTATAAATTACTTAGAACAGTGCCCTCCACATG